TTCAAAGAGGTGTATAAGGGGGTGTGGGGGCATAGCCCCCACGGCTTTGTAACGTTTGACAAGTGGTGGGGACGCTCTTTTTTTAAAAGTTAACAGAGTCTCCCTACTTTAATTTTGTCAAGTCGAGCACTGCTGATTCGATTGTTTCATCATTAACTAATAAGAAAATCATATTATTATATAATATAAGATAATGTGTTTGGCGTGAAATAGGTAATTTTTTTTTTGAACACCCATTATTTAAACTTTATACGTAGGTAATCAAGAAACGCGCCCTCTTCAATTTTATTATTTTTCCAATTCAAGCACTACACCTTAAAGGAGACATAACTTTAACACATATCCGTGCATAATATTACTAGTCTGCTAGTAATATTATAATTTTTAATATTACATGTTTTTCGTTGATATTTTTGTAAAATATGTTCGTGTTTTGAGTACCTATATTGTATAATATATATTATATATATACTATATTATAATGTACAATTGTTATTATTATCATTATTATTAGGTATGTAGATAATGTTCGTCAACCAAAAACAGAATTGAATATAAATTTACAAATTTCTTTTATTGTTTCTTGTTTAATATACATAAAAAAATGAAATAAACTCGCGTATTCGTATTATATAGATACATATTATAATTTATATACGTTTTATTTAATCACTCCAATCGTAATTTGTAATGTATTACAAAATGTATACTTATTCCATGATGGCGCAAATTTATAACAGATTGCAGGAAACACCTTGTGGATTATATAAAGACGACAATATATCCGTCCACGAGCAAACCATTATATTAAAATATTTGTTTTTATTTCGAATGCCTCATCCTTTACAGTTCACTCTTATAAGTTATAACTCTATAAAAAAAAACAAATGTTTGCATATATAATATATTTCAAATTAATTATTTTAGTAATTTCGTATAAGTATACTTAGTAAGTAAATTAAGACATTTTATACACTTTTTGTCTACCTAACAGCTTTTTTATTTAGCTTAAAAAGTTTGAAATAATGAAGTGCCTATACCGTTACCTTGTCTTACAAGTATTATAACAAACTTTTAGCTATATGAGTAGGTATGCCTAAGATCCATAAGTAGATCATTATGACTATCTAGTTCAATATTTTTCCCCCTTTATAAAACCAATTAGATTTAAGAACGCAATAAATATTAGTTCAACAGTAAAAAGTTAATTTTTTTTTATTGGTGGACTTTTAAATTGGTTTAGAATAACATACAACTAAATTATGCATTTCTTTTAAAATCACTCTTCTG